AATTTTGTATTAGAAAAACAACCCAGTTCTTCCCTGCTGTATGTCTCCTTTATCCCTCATACAGAACACTTCACTTCTGACATTTCTGGTCACCAAATGTGTGGGGTTTATTTCCCCACACCAAGCGATTTCTTACAACACCAGCTGGTATCCTACAATTCAACTCAATTTAACCTGAAGATAGCATCAGATCTCACAGGTTAAGAGCTGAGTTGAGTCCCACAGGACTGTCCCACCCTACTTCAGACACCAGTCGCAAGTAGTAGGTCTCCAGGTTACATACAGCTTCTGTCCAACTTGGTTGCAAATGGAGGATTCCCACGACTGTCTCCTTGGGTTCGATTAATTTGCTGGAGCACCTCAGCACACAGGGAAACACCTACTTAGGTTTACCAGTTCATTAAAGGATATAACAAAGGGTATGGATGAATAGCCAGAAGAAGAGGTACATAGGACAAGGGGTCTGTGAGGGTCCTGAGTGCAGGAGCTTCTGTCCCTGTGGAGTTGGGGTGCATCACCCTCCAAGTGTGGATGTATTTACCTACCTGGAAGCTCTCTGAACCTCATACTATTGGCATTTTAATGGAGGCTTCATCAAGTAGGCATGCTGGATTATTAACTCCACTTTCAGCCCTTCTCCTTTCTCAAGAGAATGGAGTTAGGGGTGGGGCTGAAAATTCCAAGCTTCTAATTATGGCATGTTCTTTCTGTGACCAGCCCCCATTTAGGAGCCATCCAGTAGCCCATCCAGAGTTGCCACATTAGAACATAAGTCTCCTGTCACCCAGAAAATTACAAAGGTGTCAAGAGCAGGAGGGCAGAGACCACAATATATATTTTTTATTATCTCACAGACTTAAAATACATTGTAAGAGACTATTAAGAATTTTATTAATAATTAAGAACTGTATTAGCAAGGTGAATATATTAATGCCATATATACTTGGAAATGGAAAAGCAAAATAGTAAAATACTATATTCTGGCTTAGAATCTGACCTTTAAATTTTAATTTGAAAATAAATTAGAGCATTGCTTTTATAACAGGTACATTATGGTCTTAGCTGCACAGAATGAACAAACCATTCCTTGAAAAGATTTGAAATCATTGACATTTTCCAAGAGAATCAGATGCCTCTGCCAAATGTAGATTGCTGACAACTTGCTGTCCTTCCATACAGAGATAAAGGCTACCATGGAATTCTGCAGGTGGCATGTAATGGGAGCTAGGGAACTTGATATTTAACTATATAACCTCATCTTTCCAATTAGTATTATATCACCTTGAACAAATCATCTAACTTCTCTGTTCACTGTTTTCTTCCTTTTTAAGATGAAGAAATTGTACTAGATTATTTCTAAACTCTTCCACCTCTAAAATGCTTTACGTTAGGATTCTCTCTAATGCAGATTTACAAAAGTGACATAAATGGTTGCTAAAGAAGTCTATGTATTCTTTCCTCTAAGCTTGATCCTCTCTCTATATATGACAAAGAGATATTAAAATTTTCTCTCAAATTCAAATGAAATACTTAAGATAATTTTTTTCAATTATTGTATATATTTTTGACCATTAAAGACTTTATATTTCTGGCTGTATTGTTTGTGTTTGTGGCATATTCAGTTGGAGGTAGGAATTGCTAAATTTAGTAATTAGACTTTGTGCCTTGGTGGATAGCCTCTCTCTATAACCGTGGTACTTAGCCTAATGTAGGCACTAAATAATGATTGTTGAACCTGTTTGAATATATTATGTACTATTATAATTACGAGGTAAGGAAAGAAAAAGGATCATGTATCTGAAGCATAAATGGTGGCTTGGTTTTGAGAGCTGTAAAGTGATATAAACAGGGCTCATATTAATAAAATTTAGGGTGGAAGATGGAATCATGGGAAGGATAGAGTTGGGGTGAAGAACAGAGTAACAGAATGCCATTGGTATCAGTCAGAAGAAATCAGAGCCAGAATGAGGAAAGCCTGGTAAGGAATGCTGCTACTTAGTATGTCCTCAATCTTTAATTTTTTAAAATCAGTTTTGAGCTGTAATTTATATACAATAAAAGGTATTCATTTTAAATATATAGTTAATTCAGTGAGTTATGATACATGAACACAGTCATATAACCACCACACAGTCAAGATATAGAATATTTCATTGCTACCAAAAATTCCTTGCTGTCCCTTTGCAGTCAACCCCCAGCCCATAACCACAGGCAACCATTAATTTACATCTGTCACTACAGATTAGTTTTACCGTTTCTAGGATTTACTGTAAATGGATTGTGTAGTATATACCTTTTTGTCTAAACTTTTTTGCTCTGTATTTTTTTGAGATTCATCGATGTTTTAGTGTATCAATATTTTTTATTGTGGAATAGCATTCAATTGCATGGATGCACCACAATATGTTTATTCACCATTAATGGGAATTTGGGTTCTTTCCAGTTTCTGGCTGTTACAAATAAAGCTTCTATACAGGTATCGTGTGGACGTATGTTTTTAAATCTCTTGGGTATGCCTAAGATTAGGTTTCTAGGTCATATGAAAAGATTGACTTTTATTTATTATTTTGATAAACTGTCAAACAATTTTTCAAAGTGGTGTACATTCCCATTAGCAATGTTTGAGGGTTTTTTCCCTCTAAATCCTCTTTAACACTTGGTAGCATCAATTTTTAAGATTTTGCCATTCTAATAGGTGTATAATATATCTCATTGTGGTTTTAATTTGTATTTTTCTAATGACTCTGATGTTGAACACCTTTTCATGTGCCTATTAGCCACTCATTTATTTATTTTTTTTGGTGAAATGTCTATTAAGATCTGCCCTTTTAATATTGGATTGTTTGTCTTCTGCTTAATGTGTTGTAAGAATTCTGTATATATTCTGCATACAAGATGTATGGAAAATATTTTCTCCTATGATGTGGTTTGCTTTCTGTTATTATTACAGTACCTTTGGAAGAGCAGTTTTCAATTTTGATTATGTCTAATTTAGCCATATTTTTCTTTTATGGGTTGTGCTTTTTATATTCTAAGAAATCTTTGCCTATCTCTTTATAGCTACATTTTCTTCCTATGTTTTCTTCTTGAATATTTATAGTTTTAGCTTTTATGACAGGTCTGTGATCCATTTCTAGTTAATATTTGGTATGAGGCAGATAAGGGTAGAGATTCTTTTTTAAAAAAAATAGATGTCTCATTGTTCTAGAATTATTTATTGAAAAGTCTATCCTTTCTTTTTGATACCTTTGGCAAAATCATTTGACCAAATATGTATGGATCTAGTACTGGATTGTATTCTGTTCCAGTGATCTATAGTTTTGTCTTTACGTCAATACCAGTCTTAATTACTAGAGCTTATATAGTAAGTATGGAATTTCAGTAGGTTAACCCCTTCGACTTTGTTTTTCCTTTTTAAAATTGTTTTGGTTGTCTAGGTCCTTTATATTTCCATAGAAACTTTAAAATCAGCTTGCCAATTTTTACCAAAAAAGCCTGAGGGATTTTGTTTGGGATTGCATTGAATCTTTAGATCAGTTTGAGGCAAAGGATGTGACCTGGGGTGGAGACCACACACTCCGTGTTAAGCCCTTCCTTGGAGGAGGATCTTAATGGAGCATCTCCATTCTACAACAGTTAACGGTGGTCGTGTTGTTCAGATCTTCACTTTTCTTACTTTTTTGTGTGTATTGTCTTAATTACTGAGAAAGTTAGGTTAAAGTCTCATATTACAGCTCTGGATTTATCTGTTTTTTCTTTTCTGTCAGGTTTCTGCTTTATGTATTTCGAAGCTATGTTATTAAGATATATATGCTTATAATGGCTGTATCTTCGTGAGGTATTGACTCTTATTCTGAAATACCCTTCTTTAGTTCTAGAAATAATTCTTATGTAACCTATTTTGCCTGATATTAATATAGCCCCTGCCATTTTCCCATAGTTATTTTTTTTCATGGCATGTCTTTTTCCATCCTTTTACTTTAACTCATTTGTAGCTTCATATATAAAATGAGTTTCTTAGAGTTAATACTAAATTACTTTATGGAAAATATAGGAACTTTGCAGCTTTTATCATTGAGAGAAGCTAGGCGAAGGGTACCTAAGAAATCTTGTACTATTTTTTCAACTTTATGTAAGTCTAAAAGTATTTCAAGTGTGTTTATAACTGCTTGATGTTGGTGCATTTCTGCGGTAGCTTCTTTAAAATTCTTGTCTGATAATTCCAACATCTGTGTCAATTCTGTGTTATTTTCGGTTGATTGTCTTTACTCATCCTAGTTGAGATTTTTTTCACTGTTTTTTGGTATGATAAGTATATTCATTTTTGGATTGTATCATGGACATTTTGAGTGTTATAGGACCTTGGTTTTTACTTAAATATTCTATATTAGTAGACAGTCACTGGGGAGGGAAGAAGGTACTACTGCCTCTTTGCTGACATTCACCTTTCTTAGGGCAGGAATGATAGACCCGGCTCTGCCTCTGTAGTCTTTGTGGCTGCAGCTCCTGGTGGGAGGGCTGGGGGGCTGCCGCCTCTACTCTCAGTGCAGGGTCAGCAAGGCTCCATCCCACAGATTACACAGCACTCAATTGTGAGGGTTCCATCAGCCGGGCTGCTGTCTCCCTATTCCTTTGGTTAGAGACAGTGGATTTCTCTTGGGGCATTTTTTGTTGCTGATCTACACCTGTTAGTGGTTCCAGGTTGTGAACTGCTGTAGCACCCAAGGTGAGATACACAGATGGCAAAAAAGTCTCCAGAGAATTTATTGCTGGGTTGTAAACTCAGAATCTGAGGTCTCTAGCCAGTTTGTCTTATTTTTTTTCCCCATCTTTCAGAGTCTTCTCATAGTTGCTTTTGTCATTGGTTCAAAGTTCATAGTTGTAATTAGGATGTACTTACTCCGTCTCATCTAGGACCTGACATCTCTTACTGGCTTATATTATATTAGTTTCCGTATTTTCTAATTTTGTTTATTTGCCCTGTTTATTTTGTTTTTCAGGCAGATGAAGATAAAACAATGTCTGCCAACCTAAAATACCTTTCCTTGGGAATTTTGGTCTTTCAGACTACCAGTTTGGTTCTGACAATGCGTTATTCTAGGACTTTAAAAGAGGAGGGACCTCGTTATCTATCTTCTACAGCAGTGGTTGTTGCTGAACTTTTGAAGATAATGGCCTGCATTTTATTAGTCTACAAAGACAGCAGTAGGTATCTAGGTTTTGTTATTGTAATTTATTTTGTCATTGCAATTTGTTTGTTTTGTGTTAGATATGACACATTTAATATAGGTAACTATACATTCTTGAACACGACTGTATTATCTAATGCCCTAGTATTAAAGAACATTTCAATATTTTTCATTTTATATTATGACAGCTTTAGTCTAGTAATAAAAGCATTTATTTAATCTATATCATTATTTGTGTCTTCTGGTTAAACTGTATATTTAAAACATAGTTTCTTGCATTTATAATAATTTGAGAATAAGTGCAAACTCTGTAATTCTGTGACTGTTAGAAATTTAGAGAAGTCATAGTTACTTACTAAAGTCAAGGCCTTTTATTTCTGCATTGGTTAGTCCAGCAGTGACTAATTTGATATTCTTTTTTTAAGAAAAAACTTTATACGCTATATAATTCATTGATTTTAGTGTAAAATTCAATGGTTTTTTGATATATTACATTATTAATTTTTAGAAGTTACATATACACATGAATACAAATGTGAATTTGCCACTGTAACCATTTTTAAGAGTATAGTTCAGTGGCATTGTATAAACAAAGTTGTACAACCATCAGCACTATGTATTTCTAAAATTTTTCGTCACCCCAGACAGAAACTCTGTAACAATTCGTCAGTGACTCCCATGGTACTTTACCTTCAGCCCTTGGAAAACTCTGATCTGCTTTCTGTCTCTATGAATTGGCCTATTTTAGATATTTCATGTAAGTTAGATCATACAATATTTCTCTTTTTGTCTGGCATATTTTATTTAGTATAATGTTTTCAAGATTTATACACATTGTAACATGTATCAGAACTTTATTCCTTTTTATGGCTAAATAATATTTCATTGTGTGTGTGTGTGTGTGTATATATCTATATCTATAACATTTTATCCGTTCATGTGTTGATGGACATTTGTGTTGTTTCGATCTTTTGGCTGCAATGAACAATGAATGATGCTGCAGTAGACGTACAAATCTCCATTCAAGTCCTTACTTTCATTTCTTCTGAGTGTATAATTTGGAATGGAAATGCTGTGTCATAAGGCAGTTCTATGTTTAACTTTTCGCAGAACCACCAAACTTTTTTTGCATAGCAACTGCACCATTTTATTCCCACCAGCAATGTTCCAGTTTCTCCACATCTTCACCAACACTTGTTTTTTTTAAAATTATAGCCATTCTAATAAGTGTGAAGTAGTATCTCATTGTGGTTTTGATTTGCATTTCCCTAATGACTAATGATGTTGAGCATCTTTTCATGTGCATATTGGCTATTTGTATATCTTTAGGGAAAAGTCTGTTCTCTATTTTTAAATTGGGTTGTTTGTACATTTGGTGTACTTTTGAAACTATCAAAAAAGTATTAGCCAGTGTGGCTGGAGCATATGAATCTGGAAGGAGAATGGAACAAAGAGAGATTGAATTGGTATTCAGAAAAGACAACGCAGGATAGCCTTGTAGGCTACAAATTTCACTGTAGAAGCAAAGAGAAATTGTTTAAAATTTGGTCTGTTTTGCACACACACACAAAAATATGATAACTGTATTGACAGGAAAGGAGTTGGCAAGAAGAGGTGCAAGAAATCGTGTTTGAAGCTATTGCACGAGTCCAGGCAAGAAGATGATGGTGGCTTAGACTATGTTGTTAGAGAAGAGAGGATGATTATGAGGTGTCTTTTTGAGCTACAGCTACGTGACTTGCTAGTAGATTAGGTGTATAAAGTTCAGGGAAATGGAAAATCCAGGTCAAAGATAATTCCTAAGTTTTTAGATTAAATTGCTGGATGAATGGGTACTGCAATGAATGATATATGGAAGACAGATTTTGGGAGAAATTGAGGCTTTTCTTTGGGCCATGTTAAATTTGAGATACCTATAAGGCAAGCAAATCGAGATGTAAAATAGAATATGTGAATATGGAGCTAAGGATTTGTGAGCTTATATATTGCTTTGAAGGCAAGGATTGACTTTACTCTAAACTAGCATTCCCAACGTTTAGAGGTCAGATTGAGAAGGAAGAATCAGCAAAAGAAGACTGAAGGAGTTATCAGCAAGATGGAAAGAAAACAAAAACATGAAAAGGTAATAGGAAAGCAGAGAAAATGGTGTATTTGCTGCTAAAGTCTAGATGAATAAAAAAAGTAGCCACTCATTTAGTATTGTGGAGCTAAAGGTATCCTTGACACGAGTAGTTGGCTTTGAGAGAGACAATAAAACCAACTTTCAGCGAACCAAATAGAAACACCCTGCACAAAAGTTAATTCTAGGTGGATTAATTGACATTTAGAAAAACAAAACTTGAGAACTTCTGGTCAAGATGTCAGAGGTGAGGATAGAGATTTCGATTAACTCTAGACTTTGTTAAGTATGCATGTTAAAATATGAGTAAAAACTTTATTATGACTTTGGTACCATGAATGATTTCAAAAAAGATACAAAAATACAAATAAACCATGAAGGAAAGAAATAATTAATTTGGGTACATTAAAATGAGAAATGTTTGTATATCGAATCAAGTGCGAAAACAAGCCACAGATTGAAAAAAGATATTTTTATCACATGTAACCACACAAGATTAATACAGATTATACAAAGAACTCCTCCAACTCAATAAGAAAAAGACTAGCAACTTAACAGAAAAGGGGACAAAAGATATAAATAGGCAATTCACAGAATAGGAAACCTGAATAGCCAATAAATATATAAAAAGATGCTCACCCTCATAGCAATTAGAGAAATCAGATTAAAACCAACAAGACTCAATTATACTACCCTCAGCTTGGCAAAGATAAATCTAATGATACCAGGAATTGGCAGGAACATGAAACAAGACCTTCCCTAAACTAATGGTAAGAAAATTATGTGATAGCATTGGTTATTTAAAAATTTAATTACAACATTTTTAAATGAACTAATAATATTTTAGATTTTCTTCTGCTAAAACTAAGAAAAAATCTTTAGGTAATTTTATTTTAGTTACATAATTTTTTACTATTACCTTAGAGTAAGGAAAGGATTAATATCAGATAGCACTCTTTAAAAATATTTTCATTTTAAAAAGTTTTCAGAATCCAAGTTTTCAAGGTTTATGATAGAAGAGAAAATCATTGTTAAAATATCATTGTTGGTGAAGTGGTAGAATGCTCCTTTCTTTAGGGGTTAATGTATATCTAAGATTTTTGGACATTTTTTATGATGGATACTGTAGGTTGGTTAGCTCAAAGTCCATTTCCAACACCTTCCTCCCTTTCTTGTCTCTAATGTGGAGGACATAAAAGGAAAAACTCAATTTCCCAGCTCCCTTGCAGCATGGGTTAGCTATGCAACATGAGAGGAAAGAAGATGCCTTCTAGGCCACTGCTTTCCCCTCTTCTTGCTGCCTAAAACAAGAACCAGAGGTGAAGCAATTATTTAGTGACCTTGTTGCAACAGTCATGTAGACGGTAGATGAAAAGCATGAAGGTAAAAAGTGTGTGTGTGTGTGTGTGTGTGTGTGAAGGTCCTTGATGTGATCACTGAGCTGTTATAGCAGCTTTGTACTTGGATTCGTATTCAAGACAAATCCCTATGGGGTTGGGCCAGCGTTGGTTGGGTTTTCTGTTGTTTGCAGCCAAATTCACTCTTTAACTGATTTATTTTCTTTTTATAATGAAAGTCTTCACAATTATTAATTGGCATGAATGGCCGATAACAAAATAGAATGCACAAAATACCAGTTTCTATAATGTTGCTATAAGGATACTTGGTTGACAAATTAACACTTTGAGCTTTTGGTTTTAAATACTTATTGTATATATGTAAATACGTATATATATAATCAATTTGATTGTATTTAACAATGAAAGAATACAAGGATAATGCTCTTCTTAATATACCAATACTTAACATTTGAAAAATTAGCACTATTAAAACTATATTTTAGACCTAAAGTATCTTAACATGTAGCCGATTTTCCTTTTTTGACAGCTGAGAAAACTGAGGCCTTGAGAGAGGGTATGTAACTTATTCAAAGTTACTTAATTACTGATTTTGCCCATTTCCTGTTTTTTCTAGAATGTAGTCTAAGAGCACTGAATCGAACACTACATGATGAAATTCTTAATAAACCTATGGAAACACTTAAACTTGCTATTCCATCAGGGATATACACTCTTCAGAATAATTTACTCTATGTGGCATTGTCAAATCTAGATGCAGCTACTTATCAGGTACTTAAAATACATTTCTAGTAGTCTTTTAAGAAACGAACCAACAAGCAATAATATCAGCCGTTTTCTTTTTCAGGTCACATATCAGTTGAAAATTCTTACGACGGCACTATTTTCTGTGTCTATGCTTAGTAAAAAATTAGGTGTGTACCAGTGGCTCTCCCTAGTAATTTTGATGACAGGAGTTGCTTTTGTACAGGTAACTATTCAAAATAAGTATACCTTATTTTTATCACAGTTTCAAAACCTTATTTATTGCGCATGGAAAATATGGCTCTATTATTTATTGAAACATGCTTATTCTCACAAATGACAGATTTTTTGAGGGCTTTCTTCGAGCAAGGTATTGTAACCGATATAAAAAATACATATTAATCAAAGTATCTGACATAAAGAAATGAACGATCAAGTTGGGGAAATATGACACTGCATATAAAACAAAGCTGATTTTTACTGGATATCTGGAACATCTGAGATTATTAATCACTCCCTTCTTCTGCCAGCCTTCCTGATACTATTGTTTCCTGGTTCTTCTTCCATCTTTTTAATGATTCCTTATCGGTTTCCTTCTTGGAGTTGTCTTCCTCAATACTCCCTTTAGATATTGGGTTGCTGATAGGCTTGTAATTTCTCTTAAATTATGTCCTTATTGTTGGAGATTTCACCCATTCTTGAGGTTTGCATTAACACTTTATGCCAATGGCTCCTTAGACTGTGTCAGCAGCTCTGGTCCTCACCTATAGTTTCAGATTTGTATATCTAAAAGCCTGTTGCACATCTTTGTTTGGTTTTTCAATAGACATTATAAATTCAACATATTCAAAACTAAACTTTAGCTTTTCCTCATCTAACCTGTACTTGTTTCTATTTTTTCCAGTCATTTTTACTCAGCCTATTAGTTGTCCTAGTCTCTTTCTTCTGCCTGTACATTCAATCAGTTACTAAGACCTTACCGATTTTGCTGTCTAAAACTTCTTGATTCTGTCTTCTCTGTCTCTATTCTGTCCTTCCCCAGTTCATGCCTTCTTTGTTTCTCACATGATCTTTTACCACAGTCTTACCCATCCCCCCAAATTCAGCCTCCATGTAGTCACCATTGTGGTCTATCTAAAAACAAATCCAATCATGCCAATTTCCTGCCATTCAGCAAACAGCCCTCCATCACTTCCCCCAGTGTATAGTATATATATCGTGAATAAATATTTTTAATATTTATTTTAAGTGGGTGTGGAAAAATATAACTGGCATATCAAACCCATATTTTCATCGATATTACTTAAAATAAGCTAAAGTAGCTATTGCATTTTAAAAAGTGAGATATTTAAAATTAAAATATCAAGTAATCATTCAGGTGGAACACAGATTTTTAACAAAAAACATGACAATAGGCAAATAACTGGTGCCAGGAACACTGATATGCAGAGTAAAGCCCCAAATGGTTAGCATGATCCCTCCCATAAGGCCCTTCTACGATGCACCAACAGCTCCAGACCCATTTTTGCTGCTCCATACTTCACACTCTGAATTTCTACAGCTGAAGTACTTATAGAGGCTGTTTTGTGTACCTGTGCATTTATTCAATCTCTATAATTTTTAGGGGTTTTTTTTGAAATTATAAGTTGTGAAAGTAATATTACTGTGGGGGAAAAAATAAAACAATTCCAGGGTTGTCTTTCAAAAGCTCTCCTCTGCAATCTCCAAGAATGGTATTGGTTGCATTTTTATCTTTAGGTCTTAGAGTGGGCTCTAAATATGCAGTTCGCATAATATTATAGTCGTTAAACTTCAATTTTGTTTTTCTTTTTGTTCAGTGGCCCTCAGATTCCCAAGAGCTTGATTCTAAGGAACTTTCGGCTGGCTCTCAATTTGTAGGCCTCATGGCAGTTCTCACAGCATGTTTTTCAAGTGGCTTTGCTGGAGTTTACTTTGAGAAAATTTTAAAAGAAACCAAACAATCGGTGTGGATAAGAAATATTCAACTTGGTAAATATAAAATATTTTCTAATGTTATTTTTTAAAGTGATTATATTTTTATATTTAACGATTTCTGTATATCTTTAAATAAATAAGCCTTTCATAAAATGTGCTGATGTTCTGAGTATCTGACAAGGATTTGGCCTTTAAAAAATTTTGTGTTTTAAATGAATACCTTTTTTTCAAGAAAATAGAATTTTAAGTCTGTGACATAAAAGTTTTTGTACCCAGTTTCTCTCCTCACCATTTGGAGCCTTAATAACTTTATCCTTGGTTGCTATGTTTTTCTCAGAAGATGTTCCAAATAACTTACATATTTCCTCACCTATAAAGTGTACTTAATTATAATACTTCATATGTTGCTGTAAGGATTAAATCCGATAATACACATAAAATGTTTAGAATAAAATGCCTTAAATATACTAAATGCTGATGTCAGCTGTTTACATAAATATGCAAATATCAGAAAAGAAAGAAATATCAAAGGTTTGCGTGAGTTGCCCAACATTTTATTGAATTATAAGATAATTCAATAAAAAACTAAAAGACTGGTCAGAACTGATGATTCTCTGGTACTTCATGGATTTCTTATTCTTTGGTTTGACCTCATAGCACAATCTAATGGTAAGATGACTCAAAGTTTTGAAATGGATACATAAGTTATAGATAACTCAAAATTACAAAAACATAAAACAATGTATAACATTTTTCAAACATCAAATTTTCAAAGGTTAGCAAATTGAAAAGCTCCAGTGTTAGAGAGTAGAGAAACTGGAATTCTTATTACTTGTAGTCGTTATGGGTATAGATTGATATTACCTCATTGGAGCTCAATTTGGGAGAATTTAACAAAATTTTAAATAAATAAAGACTAATGTAAAAATTCCATATCTGGATAAGAATTTATCCTACAGATATGCTTGCACAAGAACACAAATATAGATGTCCAGGTTATTCATTTCAGCATTGGTTACAATTGTAAAAAACAGAAAACATTTAGAAGACTGGTTAAATAAATTATCAATGTGATTAAATGATGCAGAGGTTAAGATCATTGTCTCCAGCGCCACACTGCATGGATTCAATCTGGAGTCTGTCACTTAGCAGCAGTGCGAGCTCGGGCAAGTTTATTTAACCTCTCTGTGGTTTCTTTTTTTCATCTACAAAATGCACAAAGAAGTATCTACTTCATAGGGTTGTTGTGCGTTAACATACATAAAGCATTCAGAACAATTCTTGGAACATGGTATTATATACATATTTCATATTTTTACTTATACAGTGGAATATTATGCAATAGATAGAAATAATACAGTAAATTTGTACATAATAACATGTATGTACCCTTCTGTACTATATGCATTTATTTTGTAATTATCGAGTTTTATTTTTATAATAAAAAAATAATATCCTTGGAAGTATTTACTTTTGTAATTTTGTATTATGCCAGGATTGTTCTAAATTAGACATATTAAAATGGTAGAGTTGGCATAAAGAAAATTTCGGAAAGAACATTTCACATCTCTTTCAGTTTCTTTCCATTGTGGAATACTTTGATTAGTTATAGCTTTATCAAAAAAGTTGCTTCACCTTGCACTCTTAGTATATATATATATATATCTTGCCAGAGACTGCCCCTAACATGTGGCCCCTGTAGACATCTATAACATCATTCATAGTTTAGGATTGTTCCCGGAATCTCTTAAATCCAGTAGTCATATGATGAGATCTGTGGAGAGGTAAGGGATTCAGCAATGAATAAGATAATATGCTCTCACTAATAATAAGACTTCAGTAATGACAGATTCTGATGCTGTCTATGACTTTTTCTTAGTTCTGATTTTTTTGGATATTACTTTTTGTATTTTCAGAACTTTTTAATAAGGAAAACAGCTGTGCCACATAACTGAGCTTTTATATATGCAGGTATGAATGTAAATATATGAAAATCTAGATCTAGCAATAGGAAGATACAAGATACACTGAAATATGCCTTTTATAAATATTTGAATAAGACAGGCATATAGTCATGTAATATATGCATTCTATATTTTTTAATGCTCCGAGATTGGTAATCTCTGTTCTTTTTTATATTCTCATGTCTATGTCTTACAGTCATATAGTACTAAATATGCTTTTGTTAAGTTCATATGAATGTCGAAATATAAAAATTTAAAGGTAGTCAAATTTTATCAAAAAAAGTATAAAATTATTTGGAATGCCAGTGGACAAATATCTCCCCAGAGAAACTAAATGACATAAACATTCTTTTTTTTTTTTTAGGTTTCTTTGGGAGTATATTTGGATTAATGGGTGTATACATTTATGATGGAGAACTGGTATCAAAAAATGGATTTTTTCAAGGATATAACCGAATGACCTGGATAGTTGTTGTTCTTCAGGTAAAGCATTTAAAGTTTTATATTCAATGCTAATAAACTTTATTTTAATATAATCAAAGTAGTTACTGACGGATGTGAGGAAAATTCTCTCCTGTTAGTGCTCTCACTATATCTAGTTTATTCAGGGGAGTTAAAATAGAACTGATCTTAATGCCACAATGAAAACTTACTTTGAAAGGGAACATGAATGAATTCCGTGGTGTTTAAATTTAACATAATTAAAATGCAAGTTTAAGAATAAAAGAGTTGAAGCTGAGGGCAACTTTTGATTTTTCTACAATTGTTATATAGGAAGTCTGTGGTCATTCCATTAAGGCTCGAGAAGCAGTTCTATGTATTTAAATCTGTAACAGTTTATAGCCTCATATTGTAGTTACATATTTGAACATTCTTGTCATATTACTTCAGTTTATAATTTGAAATTGTTCAAGGGTTGAGTAATTTCATCTCCAAAAAATACTTACTGAGACTGGAGGATATAAAGATGAAGATACAAGTCACTGCCCTCACAGAGGCTTTCTGTAGGGAGCAGTGTTCCTATGGAAGGTGGGTGAAATTGGCAAAGGATAGTTCTGTTTTGAAAGCAGGAAGGATACTTCTGTCTTTAAGATAAAAGGAGACAATGATAAGTGAAAATTCAGAGGAAATTTGAAGTAGAGATAGGGTAAGTCAGGAGAGTTTATGTACGATGGCTTTCATCCTAACAAGAGGGAAGCCCTCTTAAGAAGTGGCTGAAGACTTCAGTAAAAAAGGTTACTGACAGATTCAAGAGGGAGTAAATAGACAAATGAGAACATTGCGAAGTATTTGAATTCAAATATCAATTTGTAGTAATCTCAATTGTTACTTTCTCTAAAAAAGCTTCTGTCATTTGAGATGTGCAGTGGAAGTTGTTAAAGTGGGTAACCCAGATTTGGGAGCTGCTAAGTAGGGTTTGGCAGAAAACAAAACTATGAGATATGGTAAAATCTCATTATTTAAGTAACCACAATTGGAATTTGAGAGAGATTTGGTAGAGAGTTCTTTCTGTACTCTTAAAGGGAACTATTAAAACTGTGCTCTAGGAAAAGCAATCTGACAGCAATGAAAGGTGGCTTTACAATGAAGAGAAACTAGAGAAAGAAAGTGAAGTTATGAAACTATTGAAAGACTAGTAAAATGACTTTCAAGTTACACTTCATTTTGAATCAGAAGTAAAAGTATTTCACTAATCGGTATGACCAATCTTCTCATGTTTATCTGAGCAAGTGATGTTTAATTACTAAGTTGGATGAGGATAGATGTTTTATTTGTAATTTGGTCAAAGTTCACTATAACGAACTGCAGGTTACGCTCTTAGTTACTTTATCTACCTTTAGAAATAAAAGGGCTATTGAACAAAACCTAGAAGACTATTGGTTATAAGAGATATTTAGTAAAAATCACCTACTACAATAGGATTAAAGCTTCATTGAGTAATTGTTTTGAAAAGTAGTTTTATATATGTTTGTGTTTTAAAATAACCTTTAAAACTTCTGCAGGCACTTGGAGGCCTTGTAATAGCTGCTGTTATAAAATATGCGGATAATATTTTAAAAGGATTTGCGACCTCTTTATCCATAATATTATCAACACTGATATCCTATTTTTGGCTACAAGATTTTGTGCCCACCAGGTAATATCTTTTTTATTTCTTTAAATTTCCAAAAGTATATAGAAAAGTAAGAATTCTTCATAAGATCTGATCAGAAATAGTAAAAGATCCATTTAACTATCTTTTAAAAAATGTTTCAAACTAAATGCACAAAAAAATCTTCCACTGGAAAGCTTTTTATATCAATTTGGCTGGCTAGAATTTTCCCAATAGATCTGAATGGGTTTCTCCCCAAAGTAAAAGGTCATACAAAAGGTGATATAAAAGCCATATAAAAATGTTACTAAGTTATAAAATAAGTCATATAATGACATTTTAAAGTGCAGAATTTATAGAGCTAAACCTGGGAGACATTCTTGAAGTAGGCAGTTTATAGAAAGAAGGTGGCTCATGAAAAAACTATTAGGCGGTGGCAGGAAGAATAGTTGTTTGGACAAGAATTTTAAAAGGAATGGTGGGTGAAGCAGGAGCCCCAGGACTGTAGTGTCATTATCACAGTACGATCAATGCAGCCATGGACGTATAGATACAATTCTGTTAGAAAGAGGGGGTTCAAATCTTTGAAATAATCATTAAACTCTGATAGTTTTTTTTTCCTAATTTTTTTAACAAAATGTTTTTCTCTCAGAAACATGGAAAAATAGCTGCCTTGAGAAGCAGAGGTTTCCTGGCATTATTACGTATGCTAGTAGGTCCTGTTAGAGATATCAGAGAATGGATATCTGGAGTGGATAGGAAGCTGGATCAGAAAACTTTTCAGTTAAGCATATGATTTTACACAATTCCAGAGTTCCAGAAAGCTAAGAAAAGGTCATAATGACTGCAGTTTTCAGTCAGAAGCTTATCCAAAGTGTTAATAATTACCAGATATTCTTATGGTAGTAATTTTCTTCAAGATACATTGTAGAAAGTTTTGTTATTTTAATCTTATATGTATACCTGCAACTGAGGCTTTTGAAAAGTTGCCCATTTGCATCAAGTCAACACTAGGTGTTTATGATAACAGATAATTATTGCGCTCCTTATACTAGGCAACATTAAATGAGGAGCACATGGTTGAGCAGGAGAGCAGAATTGGAAATAATGTATTATTTAATACAGTATTGTAAGTGTTGTCATAGAGTAACTCTGCCAAGGGGAGTGAATCTTAGAGACGTTAGACCTGAGTTTTACGAATAAGCAATTTTCTTGGGAGAAGGAGTATTGCAGGCAATAGATATCATTTATAAGGACACTGTCCTGAAAGACACGTTGTGTTCACTGAATGGAGTGGCTGAATTATATAGACTGAGAGGGATGGAGTGTGGGAGATGAGGTTGGAGGGACCACTTTAGGATGGGCCCTTTTTTTCAATAAGAATTAGTGATCTTTTTCCTTTCCTGAGGAAATGTTTTGTTTGTTGTTTTTAAGGTAGGGGTGTGACTTTGAACTGTCAATAGAAACTTTTAAACCAAGACCAATTCATGTTCCTGTAGGAGCATTTTGAAGAACATACCTGTTAAAAGTTAAGATTGGCATTCCAGCTTATGTCCAGTGTAGGTTCCAGTACCAGTTTAAGGTCATTTCCAAATCATAGAAAGGCATTATATCTATGGATAGGTAAAATAAAGTAAGTCTCCTGTATTTAATCTTATTTCCCTTTATAAAGCATCCTATAAAAATTGGTGCTGAGTTTTGCTTATTACTACCTTGGATTTTAAACTGAACTTCACTTTGGTTTGAAAAGAATGCAATTTTCCCTTTTATATTTTCAAATATTAAAAAAAAATTGAGATCTTATTATTCAATGTATCGTAGGCAAAAGACATATTAAGACGAAATACATTTAAAACACCTTTGGGAGACAGTATAGTGAAGTGAATGGACATGCAGGCTCTGGAGTCAGACATACTTGGATTTGAATTCCATCTGCTGCTTAGAGTTGTGGGACTTAAAGCAAGCTACTTTGTAAACCTGTTTCCTTACATATTGAAAAATGAAGACAGTACTACTACTTCCTCATGGGGTTGTTGTGAGAACTAAATGAAATAATGCATGTAAAACACTTAGCTGAATACTTGGAATGTATTAAGTAGACTATATTTGTTAGCCATATTACAGGAACATTTTTTTTTTCCAAATTATACTTGTTTGTATAGTAAAGGAAGAGAAGGAACTTGTTTTGCTTTTAATTCAATTTTTTCTTTTATATTTTTTCTTCATCTATTTAGTGTCTTTTTCCTTGGAGCCATCCTTGTAATAGCAGCGACTTTCCTATATGGTTATGATCCCAAACCTGCAGGAAATCCCACTAAAGCATAGTCGAATATTGTCTTTAATGGGTTTTCACAATGGTGCACTAGGAATCTCAACATTAAGCCTAACAGAAGACTTCTACAGATTCTAAGAAGGTATCATGCTGAATCTGATTATATTGTTCAAATGGTTTGAAAATATAAATGTTTAAGGATAAAATATGTGTATATGTAACAAAATTCCTATTGCATCTAGAAATCAAAACTTGAAAGTATTTCCAGGGATTAGAATTATTGGAAGAAACTTGAAATCTGAATTTAAAAAATATTTTACCTTTTTGATTACTGCAGAAATAAATGTCCTATGCACTCTTTGCAAGAGCACACAAACAACAAATGCCAGATATCAATTTCTGCAAATTAGATCTATTTAATCTTATTAAATGTTTTTTAATCTTACTATTTCTGTACAGATATATCAAATTATGTGGAATATTCAAAGTTTGAAAATTATAATTACCTATAAAGCTGTGAAGAAATAGAAGTTTGATCTTAATATCATTTTCATGTACCTGAGATTTTTATATTTATACAGAAGATTACTAAGCAAAGGATTGCTAAATGTTATTTGTTCACTTACACAAAAATTGGTAAAGTAACATTCTGAGTCTGATTTGTCAGAGAATAAAAATTCATATTTAAATTTAATGTAGAGAAATATACACATCTGTTTCTCCATCTACATGTTAAGATCTTTTACTCTTTCAAAACTGCTGAAAGCAATCCGGAGGCTCTCTGGCTAGATAATAGCCAGTGACCTCTACGCTAATGGAGTTTTGTCCTTATCCTCTTAATTGCATTTCTTTTCTGTAAATCAAATAAATCTTTAGTATTACTTTAAATTAAATTCTGTGTGTAAATTTCCAGTAAAGTTTTAATATGTAATTTAAAGAGATTAAATACTCATTTAATAATTTAAAATTATTATCTAATATCTCCATCTGGAGAATTTTGAACTATCAAAGCATGTACTGTATACAATTAGAATGTTTTTAAATGAGTATTTTACTCATTGATCTGTAAAAACTTCCTTTAATCTACAACTGTTGACAAAAAACACCAAAAAGTTAGTAGGACTGATATCAATGAATTGAGACCAAAATGACTTTTCTTGGAGACATTCCAGGTTGCCATGATATTACATTATTTTAAATAGCACTATATCTATAAATTCAGGGCTGCTCAGCAGAACTTCATGGGCCTCTCATAAACCCAGGAACACTCTGATCACATGTCTGGGAGAGCTAGCTGAGTTCCAAGTTCCCTTTCTGTGGCCCTACCACAGCTGCTGGGGAGAAGCCACCGCTGGGCTTTAAATAGTGGTTTCTTTTCCACTTTGATTAGCACTAGAGTTGAGGTTACAATTATACAAGTTATTTAATAACTTGGCTCACGGGAGAGAAAATATAGCAGAAATGATAAGATGGATTGGGCAAAAAAATCAGAATGTAGGTTTAATTTCATTATCTGCTAGACAAAATTACCCATTGAGTATAAGAAGTATTTGATTTCTTTCACTCATATTTTACATATTTTTAAAAGTTTTCTGTTGTAATGGTATAAAAACTGTAAAAAGTAAATATTTTTATGTCATTCTAATGGATTTTGTCGAACAGAATTTGGCTCAAAAATACTATTTTACAAACTTGGGTACTCTTGGCTAATTAGGATGGGCTGTGTTACTCTGCTGATGCAATCCTAGTCTTTATAAGACACAGGCTTAATCTATTTCATTCAGAGTTCAAATGTGTTAAAATTACAAAATATTTTAAATCATTTTGCTGGTGATTCCAAAATGTCACCAAGTAAATTTTCTGGAAACTTGACTTAATGATTTTCAATGGCCAGGTAAAAATACCTGTTCAAATATTTGCTTAATAACTTTACCACATTTCGAGCATAGTGTTTTTAGACTGTGGCAACACTCAGACTTACGTCTTATTACCTACTGCTAAGTGAAATCTAAATCTTGCAAATGCACAGAATTTGAGATTAAATGTAAAGATTTATGTTCAGTCCACAAGAAGTACTGGTTAGGTACTTATGTATTAATCAGTAGGCATTCACAATTAATTGTTAATTCAGGTTTAATCTGTCCCTATTTTAACAATTCAAAAAATGATAGAAGGGCATGATTGGATATCAGACATGTTAGTACAGTAATAAAATATTTTCAGGTGTCCAAAATAACACAATTTTAAAGATTCCCAAGAAAATTTATAAAATTGTAATCAAGAGTTATAAGGAGAAAATAGTCTAAAGTATATTTTCAAAGCAATTTTTTATTGTATTTTGCTTTTCCAGTTAGTAGGTTTGAAAATGTTATTAGAGATTGGGTTGTGTAGTTTATAATTTTTAATTCATAAAGAAATAGTCATATTTCAAAAGATGAATCTATATCTTGTCATAATACAGATAATGCCATTTTCTTGTGTGCGATATGTTTTGATGACCTCCAAAAAAGCCTTATTGTATTAACCTTTTATAATGATGACACCTTGAGCATTTAAATTCTTATACTTTTTAAAGTTTACTTATCTCTCAACTACTTTATTCATTATAAAAATGTGCTAATTCATGGGAGGAAAGTGCCAATTGATATTCTATTAAACTTAAGAATATGGTATTTAGAAATAAAAGTTTGAAATGCCACATGTAGATGTTTCAACACAGTAATGTTATCAGTTCTGTAATAAATGATTTTAGAGAAGTTATAGGCTACTTTTATGGTAGAAAATGTAGTTTAGAGATGCAAAATTTAAATGTTTACATCAATATATATTGAATGTCACAATTTCATAGAAGGAAAAGTAATTTGATATGTAAACTAGATTTCAAGGAGAAAGAATCTGAAACTAATTGATGTTGTGCTCAGTAGACATAATGCAATGCTGACTATTCTTAAGAATTGATATTTCTCCTACATATCAAATTATTGGACTTTTAAAATGTCATTGTATAGTCATTCAACTGATTTTTTTTTTTTTTAAAAAAACAGGGTTTAGCATTACTCGTATTTACACTTTCATTGTTATAATATTTAATTACATATAGATGCATGCTTTACATAAGAAAAGGTTTATAAAAATTATTTATGCTATATTGACAGTCATCTTAAGGCTCTCTAAGATATGTAGCATATTTAAATTATAGGACCAAAGAAAAAACAACTGTTATCAAACTCTGGTCCTGTGTGCCTTGCTTTACCAAAATACCTGACTTTTCTATAAGATATTACTGTAATTCACAACTTCGGACACATGGGCAAAATTAGGATGTTTTAAAAATAACTATAATTCAATGTTTTAGTTTTTCAACATTTGCTCTTTATATCTATTATCTAACAGAATATTAAAATGGGTATATAAGCGTTAGAGAATAGTGCTTATTTAAATAAATTATGGCATCATTGCTCCATCATTGAGCTTTTGAAACTTTAACAATTGTATATAACTGTCATTTTTTATTTCTTATTACAAGATATAATTTACTGTGATTTAAAAAATATTTTTAATGATTTGGATTCTGAATTTGTCTATATGTCTGTATTTTATTTGTTTGAAAGATTCTTTTGGGTTTGGGAATATAATTTGTATATTTAAATTTTTTATGGTGTAATTCAAAGGACTATATAAACTGGTCTTTTGTTAAATGGCTTTTTAAAATTGACATTTTCTTTGTCATTTTTTGGTATCCAGTTATTATTTAGTAGATTTACGGAAATAGGTTTTTTCATAATTAACTATATAAATTTTTTTGAATATTTCCTTTGTTCCCTATTCACCTGTGTCTGATTTGACCAATGAATTAGTCTCCTCTGTATATATCAAGAATGACTCACTGATCATTTCCCTACCTTTCTAGTTACTTTTATCACATGGAGTCTTTTTTTCTAGCCTATGCTCTAGCATAAAAGACTGGGTTTTATTTAAACTAGTTAGAATTTCTCTACCTGTATGATGATAATAGCCTAAAACTTGTTTTAAATTAATTATCTGTTTGCTAGCCTCATGGTTAAGTATTTATAGTAGTTGCTATATATTTTCTTCATAATTTGAATATAATTGCTCCTTCTCTGTGTATCAATTCAATGCATAGGGATCAAATGATAAGCAATATAGAGGAAGTAACCTTGTAGAGAATACTTTAGTTATTTTAAAAGATCACTAAAATAAGAATATCAGCATTTTAAAAATGCATACTTTTCTTTGGTATCTTCTCATGAAAAGAGCTTCTTTAATTTTTTTTGTATTGGAATTCTTCTTTTGTTGAAAATACTGTATATCATGTTCCTTGAATCCAAGTGCTATACAAATACACCTCATTCTAAATCTTATAGCAGTTACTACAATTCAGCGGAGTCAGATAATGACCAGCAGTAGTAATCATAACAGTCTTTCACTGTTCCTAAAAAGGGAATTCCTTCAAGCAGGACTGATGACATAAACACTCCAGAAGGGAAAATAGCAAAGAGGAAATAATTACCTTCAAATTACAAAGATTTGAAATTCTACTATAGTGGAGAGTATCTTGGTGACTGCAAATGCAGGGGTTTCCCAAATACACTTTCAGGTCTGATAATTCACTAGAAAGATAGAAGTCACTGAAAGCTGTTATACTCACAATCCATTTATTACAGAAAAAGGATACAAAGTAGAATCAGCCAAAGGAAAAGAAACAAGGGCTGAATCTAAGGGAGGAGCCAAACACTAGTCTTCCTTTCCAAGTTGTCTGCTCCCCATCGAGTCATGGACAGTGTTATCTACTCCTGGCCACAGTGTATAATAGTACACAAAGAAGACTGCCAACAGGAAAGCTCCCCCAAGCTTTGCTGTCAGATTCTTATTGAAGCTTTATTACTTGGCATGATTGATTGGTTCTTTGCACATGGAGATAAACTCACTCTCTACTCCCTGCCCCTCCCTGGAGATCTGGCTAACATCAGGCTCTAGGGGCTCACCCTGAGTCACCTTGTTAGTATAAATTATCAGATGTGGTCTGAGGGGCCAACCAGGAATAACAAAGACACTCATCACTGGGACCTCCTAAAGATGTAAGCCAGCACTTTCTTTGCATGGGTAAGGCCAAATTCCTTACTACAAAGTGACCATTCATCTCTCTATACATATTCTCCTCAACTAATGAGGATGACACAAGCAATGACAATTGCTTAAAAAGGCCTTTATACATTGTCATGTTTAATTTCAGAAATTTTGTCAAGCGATTCTGAATAAAACATGACTCAATAGTAGAAAAACATGGTTATAATCAGATACAGTGCTAAATAGCACATATAGTATTCATTTAATTTTCAGTTCTGATGTTTAATGACAACTTTTAATGCTGGAATATCTTAAAGATCAACAAATTTAAAAAATTGTAAACTTTATGCTGTATATTAATATACAATTTTGAGCTAATTTTAAATTACCATTAACTATCACTATTACAAAGAAGAATTAATAGACTAAGACTGATCCAGTTGTTACTCTGGCTCACAGTAGGGCTTCTCTGTTTATTAGGTCTACATTTCTGGTCATCCTTTACTAGGGTTAAGTATCGGCCTTCTATTGGATCTAATCAGTTTTTCATTTATGCATTTACTTACATTTATTTCTTTAGGATTTCTAATATGCTAAAATAACTTCCTTAAAACAATACGGTTTTCCTTTGGAAATAAAGAGTTTACCCAAGATGTACACTTCCATCCTTTTTGAAGTAGGTCTCACTGAAAGTTTAAAAGAATGATGAAAGTTGTTATAGTGTTTTGGAATAATCATCTGAAAATGTACTCTTGTTAAAATGTGATTTAAATGTGGAGTGAGAGGTTTAGTTAAATGTGCTAAATCAAAATTCACTGATGTATTTTTAAGTGAATATCTTTGTTTATATGTTTACCCTTTTAAAAGACACTGCATATTCAGGCATGATTTCTAATTATTGAGGGTTTAAGTTTTCTCCTTTAGGATAAAGTTTTCTTATATTCTATTTTATTCTGCTTGGATAGTAATTACAGCAGTTAAAAATTATGATGCTAAATGCTTTCTCTAATATATTCAAGCTGCTTCAGTTGGTTTTCTAAATAGTATTGCAAAGGTAGAGTAATATTTCTTGTTTGACTAATTACAAAAAGTCATGACAGAGGTGAGCCCATGTTTCATTTTATGACTATTTCAAAAGTATTGCTATGAATTCTAGAATTTTAAAACCTGAAGCTTACTTTGGACGTTATAAGCATAATGCCCAAATTTTCCAGTACTTTATACTATTTGTATCCATTTGCTTTATAGAATAGATTTGTTTTTATTTTGAATATTTTGTTTTTACAATATTGTTACTATTTTAAAATCTTCAATCATGCTGTCAGATTGTGCCACTTTAGCTTTGAAAAATTCATGGGATATCCACATGTTCTCACGAAGTAGGCCTTTAAAGACATCCAAAAATTTTTTAAAATTTTCTCCAGCTTTTCATTTTGAAAAATTTTGAACATACATAGAAGTTGAAAGAATGGCATACCCACTGACTCTCCACCTAAATTCGACAGATATTAACATTTTGCTATACTAGCTTTATCAGAACATTTTACTTTTAAATACTTCAGCATATTTAATCTAAAAGTTAGGACATTTTTCTAATTAAACACAATACCATTATCGTACTTAAGAAAACTCAAAACAATTCAATTGTATCATCAGAGTTCATATTCAGATATTTCCAATTGTCTCAAAAAATGACTTTTTACAGTTATTTTGGTTTTGAACCAGGATTCAGTGAAGGTTCATATTTTGTTTTAGATTGTCTTTTAGTCTAGCAGACCCTTTCTTGTACTCCCATGGGTTTTTCTCCATGATGTGGGCCCACCTCCTCCATGACATATTACGTGGGAAGACGTAATTCTAGATTGTCTCATTATTAATGATGATAATCAGTCATTTGGTCAAGGTGGTGACTACCAGATCTTTCATTGTAAAGGTCATTTTTCCCCCTTAGTAATTAATAATCTCTAGAGTAATGTTTTGGTACAATGAGAATATTGTTTCCTTTTATTCAGTGACTTTAGCATCTATTAATGATTCTTAACTGAATAATTTACTACATTGAGATTCAAAAAATTTTTAGTTCTCAAATTTTCTACATTAGTTTATATTCTATTTTTAAAAGACTATTTTTCCCTCCTTTTCCTCAATGCCCCTCTTTTTTCAACTATCACTATGTTTTCAAATTACTCAATGTATTATACAGTCAATTATGGACACAGTGCTTTTTATGTTCATACTGTGAGCCAGTAGCCAGTGGAAATCACTGCAAACTACCTCATGTGTCTTTTAGATGTGACTGCATTAGTGTGAGTTCCTCCTTGCTTCCAGGACAAGATGTCCCAGGCTCACTTTGTACTCCTCCTATCCCAAATCTGGAATATCAGCTATTTCTCCAAGGAGCCCTGTTCCTTTTATGGAGGATGAGATTTGGCCTCCATTTGCTTCTAGCCCAATTCAGTGGCCAGAGCTAGGAAATAATTTTAAGAGATCATGAATGCATATTGATATTTGCAATTAAAATTCAGTATTACAAGGTTTTTTAATTTTATATTTGCCTCTCTTTTCTCTTACAGTTAAAATATTGGTTCCAAATAACATTCATGTATTTGCTCACATTTTTTTATGTAGTATATGTTTCAGCATTATAATATCAATATTACTAATGGTAAACATACTGAATAAAATTTAAAGTTTCATTGCAGTTCTCTTCTTAGAATAATAGCCCAGTAAGGATGTTTAGTCAGAGTATTGCATTCAAAAGTTAGTGGAAATCTGTTTTTTCTCCAGCTGGTTATCAGTGTCATAGGATTGGTTCATTTGTTTGTGTTCAATTTTAGAATTTACTTTAAAGTTTTTACTTTTTGAATATATGAAGCCTTTACATGGTTCAAAGTTAAAACTATATAAAAAATATACTCAGAGAAGTCTAGCTGTCATAGAGAACCTATTCCTACCCACCTCCTATAGTTAATTATCTTATTTAGTTTCTAGTTTGTTTCTTTTTGAAAAATAAATTATGTATATTGCTATTCTTACTGTGTTTCTTTCACTATGTAATAGCGTGTATTCTTTGCTTTTAAAATTTTTTGTTTAGAAAGGTTTGTATGTTCTAGTGTATACTAGAACATGTATACTGGTAACATTTTATGTAATGTCTTAGAGCCTCCTTTTTGCTTGTCTAGGCTTCTACTATTTATTTTGCCATCTTTAAATGATGTTCTGTGACTCCCATCTAACTGCCTTTGTGATAACCAAAGAACCAATGCTACGTATGCTACTCCTTTCACACATCTAATTTTTGTTGCCTTTTTTCTATTGATTAGTACATTGTTTACACACTATATTCTCACTCTAGTCCCTGCCTTTGTTATAAAATTAAAAATATTTTGAATATATTTAATCCTTTCCACCACTACTTTAGCTTAAGTCTTCCCAATCAACTTTTCACTGAATGAAGCTCTTCTAGTAAAGTATTCAAGGAAGGATTGTAGGTACAGTATTCCCCCAATTCTGGCATGTTTAAAATTTCTTCTAGAGCCTACTTTATAGCTTGACTAGATATAAAATCCTTAGCTCACACTTTCCTTGAGTTTTTTTCCCTTGAGTTTTTTGAAGTGTTGCCTTATT